TTGAACAGGGTGCTTTCTACCCCCTTGCCCAAGTCACTGATGAAGATGTTGAATAGTGTGGGCCCAAGGACCGAGCCCTGGGGAACCCCATTGCCCACATCCCTCTAGGTCAGAGCTTTCCAAACTTTTCATGTTGGTGACATACTTTTTAGACATGCATCATTTCGCGACACAGTAATTCAGTTCCGGGGGAGGGGCCAAGGGAAGCAGACGCGAGTAAGGGAGCTCTGCGGTGCCCTTCCGCAAAATTTTCTGCATTTCGCGTGACACACCTACACACTGCCACCGACACACTAATGTGTCGTGGCACACAGTTTGGAAAGCTCTGCTCTAGGTCAAATAAGACCCGTCCACCACCACCCTCTGGGTGTGGCCCTCCAGCCAGTTAGTGACCCATCTGACCATGTAGGCATCAACACCACTGTCTCCTAGTTTCTTACTGAAAATGGGGTGAGAGACCGTGTCGAAGGCCCTCCTGAGTCCAGAAAGACAATATCCACTGCGACACCTGCATCCAAGGACTTGGTGACCTGGTCATAGAAGGCCACCAGGTTGGTTTGACAAGACCTGCCCCTAATGAACCCATGCTGGTTGCCCCTGAGCATAACCTCCCCTGCTGGCCCTTCCTGGACATGTGCCAGGATAATTCTTTCGAAAAGCTTCCCCAGGACTGAGGTAAGACTCATGGGCCTATAGTTTCCTGGGTCCTCCTTCCTTCCTTTTTTGAAGATGGGGACCACATTGGCGCTTTTCCAGTCCTCAGGCACATCGCCCGAGCGCCATGAGTGCTCGTAGAGCTGCGCCAGAGGCCCCGCAATGACCCCTGCTAGTTCCTTCAGCACTCTGGGGTGGAGATCATCAGGACCTGCGGATTTAAATACATCTAGTCCCTCCAGAAGTTCCCTGACAAGGTCCTCATTGACCCTAGTCCTGGGTGTGCCACCCACAGGGCCCTCGGGGGTGCCAGTGGGGGAGATATCCGGGTCCCTCCTCAGTAATATGGAGAGATTTCTGAGGAGGCACCCGGATATCTCCCTCACTGGCTGTGCTTGGCACAGGGGCAACTCCCCTCCATGCTGTGCTTGCCATAGGGGCATGCCGAGCTGAAAGTAAAGATGTTTTTTCCCTCCCCCACATCTGTAAGCAGCCATAGTGTTCAGCTCATTACATGACCAAATTCAAATTCCATTCTGTTCTCCAAACCTTTCCCCAATACAAATGGGAGGGAAAAATCGATGAGTATCATAAAAAATAAGTGTTTCCAATGAAAATTAGGCTATTAGGAAATTATATGTGTAAATAGATAGATAGTCCTCGTTTTCAAGTGAAAAAGAAAATGTAACTTGTATTAAGCAAAAAAAAAAAACCAAGAAAAAAACCCCACACAGAACAACTATAAATTTCAGCTGCATTACATAAATAAATTAAATAAGGAACGAGAGTTTGGCTATGTCGGAGCAGGACTGGAAAACAACCTTTGAAGGAGATACTGTACCTAATGTAACTGGATCTGAATTCACTGGACTCTGCTGTCTGGAATGGCTACTGCTGCTGCTACCACCTTTTTTTAAATCCTCTGCATCACTGTACCGTCGTATCCAGTAATTAAGCTCCTCACGGTCCGCTTCTTGACATCGCCGTAGTACAGTGAGAGATCGCCTTGTCTTTTCCACCATGTCCATTATACAGTTTAACAGCTATTTGTCAGAGGAAAAGGGAAAGGAGGAACCAAAGGAATATTTGATTATGATGTGCTATATTCATAGACCAAACAGACAATACTGTGAAATGTTCTCATGTCAACAGTCAGGGCTCTAAAGAAGAAAGATTCTTTCCCTAGTTTTTAAAGTAGTTATAAAATACTAGTCTCTCTTGCAAACAATTCCTTCTGAATCTCAGAACTGCAAAGGCAAAGTTCAACACTTACAAAGTCTAAATGTTATTAGTGCAACAACCCCCCACCATTTTTAAAGGTACCAATCAATGAAACAATCCATCCAATAGGCAAACTTCAGCTCCCAACTTTTCTTATACCTTTGTTTCCGCAATTAGTATTCTAAAATGGGTATATGGAGCCCAATTGCTGGCTTAGGCAGACAAACTGGGAACCAGGAGCTGTACTTTAATCCCCAATATTTTCAAATATGAAAGACTTTTCCCCCCGGTATGGGAGATAAAGGAACAAATTTAAATGCACTACACTAGTTGATAATATTGTAGTGTTACTTTCGAAAGTCACTGTATACTTCTATTCACATACATCACTTCAGACAATTACACACACATGTACACATCTTACATGGTCAAGATGTTTCCACTCTTCTGCCCATTCTCTGTCTGTTAGCCTGTGATCAATCATTTCCTCTTGACGTGTGCCATGCAACCCTGCCAAAATTGATAAGAAGTACTTACATCAAAGGTTTCATCTAGAAAAGATCTCGTTCTCTCATTTATATAACATTGAGTCCCAGATATTCACAATGACTCTCCATTCATTACGTAAATGCATGAAGCAATTTGCTCACTGAAGGTTTATGTATATAAAGACTATACAGTTTAGTGTTTTATCAGTCTTTTTAGTGGGAAAAACAAATTTATTTCACAATGAAAAACAACTGGAAGAGTAATATTCATAACAAGATGCATTTAAAATAATTTAGTCCAATACTGCCAGTGTTCCATGCACATAATTCCATTTGACCTCAGTTTTACACAGACCACTTGCTAGACTGCACAACAAAAGGATGAAGGCTGCTTCAATAAAAGTTATAAAAAATGTAGACGATATACTGTAAGTGAGTTGAAACATCATTTTCTGGTGCAAAGATAAGACTGTCAAGGCTGTCTGATCATTTCCATAATACCATACAAAGAAACAGAATTAATATTTATTGTTCTCTGTGTTGAAATTACTTCAGAATTACAATATGTTTTAAAAAGGTGCGATTTCATGTTGATTTTTCTTATTTTTATGTAGGCTTTATTCTTGATCAATATATTAACATTTCAAATGAGTCTTCTTGAAAAGCATGAAAAGCATTAGGGAAGGGTAGACATTTTGCATGCAACAAAAATTAAGCAAGTGACCCTAGTTCTAAAATTCAGAAATTGTCATATTGGTCACATACCCAATATTCTAGGTCGTTTATAGACTTTTTCAACGTGGAATAAATATTTGCCAAACTAAGTGTAAAATCACTGAGAGAGAAACCATGTCAAACTGACATCTAGATAATTAGTTGAAGTTTTTATAGGATGTTCCCTCTGCCCCAAGATTGCTCATTTTTCACTTCACATACTACTTTCAAGTTAAAAAAAAAGAAAAGCCAAACCTTCAAATCATTAGAAAGGCTGAACTCTGAAGAACTGATGTAACAGCATTTTAACTGCTATATATATTGCAAGAAATACAATGGTTAAATAATACCGTGTTATTTTATAGTCATACTACAAAAGATTGAAAAAATGTAAATGACAGACAGAACAAATATAAGTTGATTAAATACAATAACCACTAGGCCTGTGCAAAGCAGCTAGCATTTGCTTCGGATTTGGCCGATTTGGGGGACAATGATTTGATTTGGTGATTTGAATCACTGTCCCAAATTGATTTGGCCAAATATGATTTGGAGATTCGGCTGCAGCTGAAATTGGCCAAATCTCTGAATCAAACAGGCCCCATCCCCTGCCCGCTCTCCCAGCCCCAGCTCCTGGCTCTTTTAAAAAAAGGAAAAAAAAAAAGCCCTGCACTGGCCCCCAGGCAGGGGGCCAGTCCCCACTGCCCCCCCACTGTGTGTGGGGCTCTGCCACGAGCCCCCAGAAGCCCCAATGACCACTAATGCATGCAGTGTGTGCCGGGTTTTTCCTTTTTTTTAAAGAACCTGGAGCTGGGGCAGGTGGGGCAGCTATCAGTGGGGCTGGGAGAGCAGGTGGGGGCACTCAGCAGGGCTAGGGGAGCAGGCAGGGATTGGGCCTGGCAGGGGTCCCCCCATGGTCCTCTCCCCCAGCCTTCCCCACCCTCTACTCACCGGCACAGAGTGCAGGTACAGCTCCCTGCGATGGCAAGTGCAGACTGCCCAAATCTCCAAAGCTCTCCGAATCGATTCGGACCTTTTTATCAGTCTCCTGATTCAGTTCGAAGTCAGAGATTCAGCTGCCAAATCAGGCTGAATCTCCTCTGAATTGTGCACCTGAAGCTTTGCACAGCCCTAATAACCACCTCAGGGTGCTTACAGATGTAACCTCCTCTCACCCCCAAAATCCAGCTGAACCCAGTGCATGCCCAGAAGAGGCATCACGTTAGTCTGACCTGGCTTGCTCAATGTCTGTTTACTACAGCAGGGCTTTTTTGGCACTTTTATCTAATAGCTGACTGAAGTAAAGTGCATTTTTTTCCATGTCTGTCAGCAGCCTCAAGGTCTATACCACTTCATTAAAGACAACCAAGTTAACACCCCTTTAGAAGCCCAATTGTTCTGGTTGCCACATGAACAGAATACAAGGAAAAATCAGGTCTTCACAAGTTCCCTGTACACCTGCTCAGAAATCTATTTTGTTCACTGCAAGAACAAAAGGGGTAGTCTATATTTCTTACTCTGCCATATGAATGCATAGTTCAAGTGATAATCAAGTTCAATGCTATAAAATTCATTTCAGACATTAAACTTGACTGGATCACAGACCACAAGGAAGTAAGAGGGAAATACAGTTCTTTACTAGAAAAAACTCTCTCTCTGAAGTAGTTTAATTACAGTAAATAAAAGGGAAACAAGATGCAAAGAACAATAAATGATGCAGAAAGTTTCTCAAGTGTCCCTTACCCATAGGTCTGTTTCTGTCCCTGAGGTCCCTGTGGTTGGGGTGTCTGTATGAGTCCCTGTAGTGGTGGGCAATGGCCATATCATCCAAACGATAATGCTGAGGTGGAGGTGGGGTAGGGTGAGGCAGACCATTGGGCTGGTAAGATAAGCCATTATTTGGACTGTACCGCTGGCCTGGGCTAATAGTGCAGGGCCGCTTGCTTGGATGCTCTGAGTGCAAAGGCTCTCTGTCAAAGCCATTTTCTTTGGTTCTGAAAAATAAAATCCAAGAACTTTCATTCACAATTTGAACAGGACTGGCTGCTGTTCAGGCAGACACAGCTTGTTGATAACTGCTGCTTGTACTCACAGTTGCAGGTGTGTTAGGGAACATTTTGTATACAGTTTAATCAGGGCTTATAAAGGACACATTTACAGTATAACCATCCCTTATCACAGTTTAAGAAGCAGAGACAGAATAATACTCGCAATAGATCAGCTCACGAACATAAAAATGAAAGTGTCACTGAAATCAGTGCTTGAATGTGTGATTACACACTTGATTACAGTACAGACTAATGTGAGTACAGCTGATTATAGTTCAGACTCACACGTGAGGCAAGTGGCCAAGCAATTTTCATTTCTATTAATGCAAAAGGAATCATTTTACATTTTCAGTCAAGTCTACATTGATGACAAAAAGCCATAAACTGGTAGGCGTTCTGACTTATTGGTGGCACACAGCAATGTGGGAATATTTTCAGCATAAGAAAAGCTTTTTCCAAAAGACAGCACATGGCCCTTTTCCAACAGACAGCACATGTTCCTAAGGCTATATATCTTAGATTCATAGATGTTAGGGTCGGAAGGGACCTCAATAGATCATCGAGTCCGACCCCCTGCATAGGAAGAAAAGAGTGCTGGGTTTAGATGACCCCGGCTAGATGCCTATCTAACTTCCTCTTGAAGACCCCCAGGGTAGGGGAGAGCACCACCTCCCTTGGGAGCCCATTCCAGACCTTGGCCACTCTAACTGTGAAGAAGTTCTTCCTAAAGTCTAGTCTAAATCTGCTCTCTGCTAGCTTGTGGCCATAATTTTTTGTAACCCCCGGGGGCGCCTTGGTGAATAAAACCTCACCAATTCCCTTCTGTGCCCCCGTGATGAACTTATAGGCAGCCACAAGGTCGCCTCTCAACCTTCTCTTGCGGAGGCTAAAAAGGTCCAGGTTCTCTAGTCTCTCCTTGTAGGGCTTAGCCTGCAAGCCCTTAACTATACGAGTGGCCCTTCTCTGGACCCTCTCCAGGTTATCCGCACCTCTCTTGAAGTGCGGTGCCCAGAATTGCATGCAGTATTCCAACTGCGGTCTGACCAGCGCCCGATAGAGGGGAAGTATCACCTCCTTGGATCTATTCGTCATGCATCTGCTGATGCACGATAAAGTGCCATTAGCTTTTCTGATGGCTTCGTCACACTGCCGACTCATGTTCATCTTGGAGTCCACTAGGACTCCAGGATCCCTTTCCGCTTCTGTGCCACCAAGCAGGTCATTTCCTAGGCAGTAGGTATGCTGGACATTTTTCCTCCCTAGGTGCAGCACTTTGCATTTCTCCTTGTTGAATTGCATTCTGTTGTTTTCTGCCCATTTGTCCAACCTGTCCAGGTCTGCTTGCAGTTGTTCCCTGCCCTCCAGCGTGTCCACTTCTCCCCACAGTTTTGTGTCATCCGCAAACTTGGACAGAGTACACTTCACTCCCTCGTCCAAGTTGCTTATGAAGACATTGAAGAGTATCGGTCCAAGGACCGAGCCCTGCGGGACCCCACTGCCCACACCCTTCCAGGTCGAAACCGACCCATCCACTATGACTCTCTGGGTGCGACCCTCTAGCCAATTCGCCACCCACCGGACTGTTTAGTCGTCCAAGTCACAGCCTCTTAACTTGTTCACCAGTATGGGGTGGGATACCGTATCGAAGGCACTGAACTTTTGCTCTGAACCTTTGCTCTCAGTAATGCCAGGATGAATTTTCACTAGAGAATTAATATGATCCCAGAAGATTTCTAGATCAGTAACATTTGGAGAGTATGGAAAAAATGTCCTTGGTGATCAGGGATCTTTTCTTTAGTAAAAGAGTAAAAAAAAAAATCTATATTTGTACGTTAACCTGGCAGTTCAATCCAAGATGCTGTGCATGGTGGTATTGTGTTATGAGCATTGGTTAGGCCAAAGTCATAAGGTATTCCTCCTCTGCTCCTCCTAACAGATGGCAATTTCTTACTGAGGTCACCTAAGACTGCTACCATCAAGGAAAAAGTTAGATATAAAGAACCATCCAATTAATCCGAGTCTATCTTCAACCCCACTATAAACTAATATATAAACGATATAACAAAAAAGACCTGTTTACATTCTGCAAAAAAGAGAAACAGGGTGCTTTTATTATTTCCAGAGATCATGATGCAAATCATTTTCTTCCTATTCTATTACAGAACCAATTTTTCCATCATAACAATCATCGCTTAGCTTCTTCATATATCCACTTTTTGTGAAAGTGAGAATTTGGATAGTGCACTATAATTGAAAATTATTGCACTGTGGTTAAGCTATGCTTATAGCAAAGTGGTGTGAATGTCCACAATTGTCTGAATGGATTTTCAACTGCTGTTTCAGGGAATTTATGCTTCACTCATGGTAAAACCTGGTTCTACCATGGAGCAAACAACCCCTATAAAACTACCTTTGCATTGGGTTGGAAGATATTAACTGCAATAAACACAACATTAAAGTGGTTTGTCTTTTGATTTTTAAGCACATACTTTATTAAATTAATGTGCTAAGATGTGTACTTAAGCTACACATCTTTTCATATAACTGAAAAATGAAAAACACAATATAGGATGAGGCTGAGCAACACTTCATCCCTGTGCTTCAATGAACCTTTTTCTCAGTGATTTATAGATGGCAGAATGCAATTATAATGTCCTTGTAATAAAAATCATGACAAAAACATGCTAAATCAGGCTGACAGGAATATAAATTTGGTCCGACTCAGTAGTCATTCACCTGCTCCTAAAAGGAATTATGTATATCTGTGCGCACACATGTGCGTGTGTGTAAAACTATAGACATGCATATCTATCTATCTATCTATCTATCTATCAGGCCTGTGCAAAGCAGCTAGTATTCGCTTCGCATTTGGCAGGCAGTGATTTGATTCGGTGATTTGAAACACTGCCCCAAATTGATTTGGCCGAATCTGATTTGGAGATTCGGCTGCAGCTGAAATCAGCCGAATCAACCCCATCCCCTGCCTGCTCTCCCAGAGCTGTAAATGGCTGCCCTGCCTGGCCCCAGCTCGTGACTCTTCGAAAAAAAAAAAAAGCCCCCACTCACTGGATGCTGCCAGGTGGGGGGGTGATCCCCGCTGCCCCACACTGCATGGGGGGCTCTGTCATGAGCCCCCAACCCTGCCTGCTCTCCAGGCCCCAGCTCTTTGCAATAAAAAGCCCTGCGCTCACCAGCTCCTGCCAGGCAGGGGGGTGATCCCTGCTGACTTCCACTGCCCCGCACTGCATGGAGGGGCTCTGACATGAGCCCCGAGAAGCCCCAAGGCCACTGCAGCAGCCAGTGAGTGGGGGCTTTGTTTTTAAAGAGCCAGGGCTGGGTGGGGAAGCCATGTGGGGGGGGGAGCTGGGAGAGTGGGTGGGTGTAGCAGGGTGCTCAGGAGGGCTGGGGAGCAGGCAGGGGATGGGGCCTGGTGGGGGTCCCCCCATGGGCCCCTCCCCATTCCCCCAGCCCCGCCCCAACCCCGGCCACCTACTCGCACAGAGGTCAGGCCCAGCTCCCCGC